AGCGTACGTACGTAGATGCCTACAGATGCCAGCTCCATTACTGTAACGACAGTAGCATGTCTGAGTTTTCGCTACTCCAAAAGTCAAAAGTGACTGAATGATCTTCCTCAAGTTATCCATATACTTGCAGGTAAAAATATGGTTCCAAAATCGACGAACAAAGTGGAAGAAGCATACATCAGAGCGACCTCAGCAGAATCCAAATAAGAATGTCATTTCCACGATTGACCCAGCAGAAAAGAAAGACGTCGCCAAGGACAGCGGAACTCTTAAGATCGAGGAGACCATCGCAGAGATGCCAATGCTCAAAACATAAGTTTTGCAATAACTGACTTCAAGGCTGCTACGTGAATGACCGTTTTGCAAATGCTCCGTAATATTGTTCTTCTCAGTTTTGCACTTTGCTCCCCGTAATGGTACCGGTTTTGCACTGCATTATTAGCATTTCTGTTTTATTATATCTGTGCATGAACATATGCAAATGCTACCACTTCTTTAATAGAAAACACGGGTTAAGCATGAGATCGACATAGTGAATGATGGAGGACTCTGTTCATGACCATGATTATTATACAGCAGTACCTCCAGATTTTGTGAAATCACACATATTTCAAGAATCAGAACTGCTGTCCTTGCTTATCTGCACTGAACACCTTCAAGGTTTAAACCGAATACTTAGGCCACTCTTTACTGATAAGGAACTCCAGTTACGTGAAATAAAAAACAATTATTAACATATCAGGTTCATAGACGAAGTTTGATAAATTTTTCAAAAGAATGGGTTGTTGGCAATTGTTCCGTGTTTATTCCTAAAGATCATTTGCCTGGCTAAAGCTTGTCATCATGGGCAACTGTGCCGTTCTTCCATTATAATAACATATTCGAAAACCGTCACTTGATAACGTAGCATATCGAATTTATTATATTCTATACTTCAAAGTTTCGGAAGGAAAAAGTTTCACAAGGAAGTCATGTGAAATAGAGAATGTTACAAGCTTAATCGGTGCAATCAGGCAGCAACTTTATTATGGAGGCTTCAGTTTCAAGGGTAAAACATTAATAATTTGGTGCCAATGAAAAACTTTGTTGCATAAAAGTTTTTATTCGTACATTGGCTCAATTGAATTCAATCGTTCAGCTGATAAAACAAATGAAATCAGAAGATGACACACCTTCTGTTTTCAAATTTGCGTCACAAATAAATAAACCAGATTACAAGCTACAAGAATGAAATGTAAGCCTCCCTAAGGGTATGAGAAAATCTTGACAACATGCCTTCTGTGATCAGAATGCAGACAACGAAATATGGACTAGGCGGATTGCATATCCGGAATACTACTAATGGGTGATAGCTAACATATTGTGCGTATATAATTTCATTGCTTTGTACGATAATAGTGCTTTATAATGATACGCATATGCTCATAGCGACGTGTTGCAAAACCTAGTATGCATGAATGATATTCGGAAATTAGAAAAAAATCTTTCCACCATCTAGATATGTGGTTATATCTCTCTCATATACTTGTACATTCACTTTGTCGTTTGTCACTACAGCATATGACATTTGCAAGTCACGTATGCAAACAAAAATTTATTAAACAACTTTAGGAAATATCACAGTTCTGAACAATCGCCAGTTGCATCACCATTTTTATTCAAATACAGCACACGAAAAGTTTTTCAGAAAATCAATCGGACGACGCTGCATTTTCAGTCAACAATAAACAAGCCATGAGAAAGCAATGTCAGCTACATACTAGAAACAGCAACCGAGTGGATTTCAAAATTCGTGAACAAATACAAAATGAACACAAAATAAATAGATATAAAATCAAATAATATTTCACGGAACTTTCAAGCTAATAATAAAGTCATTGAATCGCACACTGATTCTGACCGGCTAAAATTAGACTGTTCTCGGCTTCATTCGAGTTCAGGCTGTCACGAGACATCAGCGCAGATAAATTCAGGTTCATTACGTCCCTCATCATAGTCGCATTCTGCACACGCACGTTTATTTGATTTATGAATTCCGTCAGCAGCGCTTTCCGTCTTCCGAACGGCTCGACAAGCAGAAGTCGGTTCATGGCATCGACGGCCAAGTTATACTTCTGAAGGGCCTCTTCGTATTTTCCGTCTGAAACGAAATCGTCACCGGCTGACACCACGACACAAGCTGCGTGAACTTGGGGAGTATCCGACCAAGCTAACTCGATAAAACTCAGATCTGAAGACTGCTGCTCCCTCGGCAGATCAGGGTCTCTGGTCGCTGACAATCCTCGTTTAAGCTCTTCTGCTCGATTTAGGTAAAACTTTATTTGTTCCCTTAAGGTCTTCTTCTCGTTCGCATCCGTCATATAGTCCAACGCTGCCAGTAAATACTCCACTCCATCGCAGTAGAGCTTCACGGCCTCGGGCACGCGTCCTTCCTTGTCCACAAACATCGCTTCGGACATAATGACGCTACCCTTGCGCAGACTTCGGTCATTTGGCGCATGTTCGACGTCGACGAACGGATGAGCGAAGAATGCCTCGAATTCAATCCTTTTGTTAGGGTCAGGCTGCAGCAGTTTGGTTAGCAGATCAGTGGCACTGTTCGAAACAGATATCGACGTTGGGAATACGATGGCATCGCTCGTACGCCATTTTTGTATCGCACTCTTCAAGGAATCGCACGGGAATGGAGGCTGACCAAACAAGCACTCGTACAGAATAATTCCGACTGACCACAAATCCGCTTTGGCGTCGTATTTGTGGCTCAACAATATCTCAGGCGCCATGTATAAAGGAGATCCTCTAAAGCCATGTTTTTCATCGCTCGATTTCAAGCATTGGGCTACACCGAAATCGGCCAATTTCAGCAAAGGTGGACAACCGCTGGTCAGTAGAATGTTCTGCGGCTTCAAATCCAGATGACTGATGTTATGAGAGCGCAGGTACTGAAGGGCGATGGCCAGTTGTTGCAGAAATTTCTTCGTTACTCGTTCCGCGAGAGCACTGTGCCTTTTGAGAAACGAAGACAGGTCGTTTCCGCCACAGTACTCCAAAATCAAGTAGATGTTTTCGCTATCCCAAAAGAAGTCGTTCAGCTGCACGATGTGCGGGTTGGACAGCTTTTTGAGGATGCGGATTTCAAATATGAGATTGTCCTTATTTTCTTGAGTCTGACAAACTTTATGCGCTGTCAGAACTTTCACCGCGACGGAATCTGCCTCAATGGTAGAGGACGAAGCAGTTATCTGTGTCTTGGAACTCGGTACGGCCCTGTATACACTACCAAACGCTCCTTTGCCGATAAATTCTTTCAAAGTATATCCATGCTTCGCCAAAGTCGATTCCATGTACTGCAAACTAATGAGAACTATGGCTCACTAAAGAAAAAACTTCATTACGAAGCCTTCATCGCGGCAGTATCCTAAAGTATTGCAGATTAATGCGAAACAACATAAGATATCTAAAGATGTAGGAAAAACAAAAGCATTAAAATAGACCAAGGTTTTACACACTGGCACAACTTAACTTGGAGATAGCAAAGTATGAATTGCCCTGTCAAAGAGAGACTGCGTGGAAGCCACTGCTTTTCAGAATCATTCGACTTCGCTATGACATGGGAAGATAAACGGAGCAAAGCCTTATTTGTCTGTTCGCCTACAACGTCTACTGTTTTAAGAACACAACCACTGACCACTGAAAAATAATAAAACCTCCGAGTAGAGCGACGAAATCTCAGTCAACTGACTCCTCATAAAGCCAGGTGGTCTATTTATCAACCTTTGCTTTCATTTAAACTCAGAATGAGGATTTCTAAAATCGTGAGTCACTGACTTGTGACTTGAAGGATGAAGACGATGAAGCTATCGGCAAGATATCGAAACGTGTCGGCAACGCAAGTCTGAAGTCTTTTACTACGGATCAAAAAATCAGCTACAGTATGAGCTATTCTTCCCCTTTGAGCTGTCCCGAAAAATCTCTAAAGCTGAAACAGCTTATACACTTTCGAGGGACCGTCTTATTTAGGGCAAAGCGACAGTAGTCGCTGATCGTTCGACATATTCCGATGTATGGCCGTCAACCGTCTCTCTAACGTCTCAGCAGCACAGCCCTCACTTCTGACCGACCACGTCAGCCCTTAATCATACGACGATGACGCCACCTCGACCAACTCGACTAACCACGTTCGGAAAAACGAAAACATCTGTCTTAAATAGCAATAAACGCAGTGTCTACAGAAACTGAAACAGCCACGCAAAGGTGAAAGAATCCATAGGAGACGAAAAAATGTGTCGAACGATCGCATCGCACGCCGATCATCAATCAATGCCGTTCCAGTACTCACAAAGGTGTGCCGCAAGCCAAAAAGCGAGGCTACGAATTCTTGCCGGATCGAATCTGCTGACGTAAGTGACGGAATCACACCAAAACTTTTATCGGCAACATTTACTCATAATTTAACAAAGGATTGTGCGTTTGTTGATCTTCGAATGTTAATATTTTAACCAGATGAGGACTGCAATACCTCACAGAGAATTTGAAGAGAGTGATTTATTGCTTAAAACAAAAATACTGAACTTCATGTACACTGGAGGAATCGAACCCGTGAAGTGAACGAATGTGCAACAACTATACCTGTACTAATAAGGGCATAATTCCAAAAAAAGAAGTCTCATAGATGCATCGGTTGCTAGGATTCAGAATGTAATTCTAACGCTGGAATGCAACTGTTTCGTTATGGAGCTCTTGTCAGGCGTTTTTCCACGATGTAGCTCCATTCTTTATACCATTTCTACCTTCCGCGTTTCTAACACAAGCACCAACACGGTTAAGGAAGAAACAACCATTAAGTCAATGACGTACACGACACCATGAGGTGCAAAAAACAGACTGCCATACAGATATCTCTCACATATCTTCATCTAATTATGAAATATGGCAAACTGATAATGATGTTATCGTCCTTTAGCGTGGTCAGGGCAGCTTAGTTTGTAGAGCGTCGAATCCGCAGTCGTTCTTGAGTTCAAATCCCAATTGGGTCCACCACTTTGCATGTTCAAAGGAAAAGGTACATAAATGAGATTCATTATGTAGGAAGGAAGCAAACGAGCGCAGTAGCAAATCACCGTAGCAGCAGCTACCTAGCTGCAGATGTTCCTTCAACGATCTAGAATTTCAGTTTTTGTTCTTATTGTCTTGCTTGCTACACTTCGCTTTACTTTAGCTTGAAATGAATGTTGTACGTGACAATGTTTGCTAAGACTTTGATCTTGAGCGGCATGCAAAAGCAGAACGTCTCTGACTTGCGACGTCTGATGGATTCACAGCTTTTAAACACGTTTACCACAAGACACAGGTTACCGCAACGTAGAAAGAATTTCTTTCCAAAAGCAGATCAATCTTTACCTTGTTCCTTCATACTGCATGCTGGCTTCCTGATCGACAACTGTCGTATTTTATCTTTCAAATATGAAGCTCGGTGGCAGGAATAAACGGTTTATGTTCAACCAGTTTCTTTAACAGGACCAACCACCTTTAATTAATCTCCACATCTGTAGAGATCACTTGTGCTCGGTGGCAGGAATAAATAGTTTATGTTCAACCAGTTTCTTTAACAGGACCAACCACCTTTAATTAATCTCCACATCTGTAGAGATCACTTGTGTCCGGAAGAGAAGATAAACCAGCTATTTAATCCTTACTATGCATTGAAGCCAACGTTGTTGTATATAGTTGCCTTTCTGCGTCCTTCATTAACAACTGTCGTCATTTTGTACATTTCATGATCTAATCGGGACAAGAAACATGCAGATTTTTGCAAATTATAATAGTGCCTTCTCATCCCAAATATTGAGCATTTCATTTGGAGAGGAGAACAATAAATCAACTTAAAACACTTTAGACAGGGTCATCGATATGATGGAGCCGAAATACCGATAAATTTTGCTTTCTGGATGTTAAGGAAGACGACCACTTTCGCAGCTGAATTGCATAAACAACTGTCAGATGAAATGCTGCTTGAAATCAGTGTAACATTTTGTAACAAAAATTTAGAATCGATTAAACCCTTAATTTCAGAAAAGTATAGCTCTAATCGCTGAAGGTTATGTAACAGAGACTTACGACCCATCATAAAATTATTCTCTGAGAAGGAGCGCTCAATCGCATGATTTCACAGAACCATTAGCAAGGGCATAACATCAAACTGCCTTGGCTGATCAAATCCTGTAATTGGAACCAAGATACGACACCTGCATTTTCGGAAGCCAACGACGACCATGGAACGACATCCTTCCGGCAAACTTCCAGTCACTAGAAATATTTCGTTCACGGAAGGGGTGAAAGTGCCATACTAATCTACTTGCTGTCCTGCGGACATTATAAGATCGAATCACATACATACACCTTGGTAAAGAATTTACATAACAATCATAGAGCGATGAGAAATGAACTTCCAATGGCTATTCACGACTATCAATTTAATTCCAACTAGTAATAATATGTTAACTGATCAACGCCAGGTATCAACAAAATTTTCAAAATTATCTGAGTTTAACAACCTGAGCCGCATGCACATATAACACTACATAAGAAAACGATGTCTATGAAACAATTGAAAGCAAGTAAGCATTCGTGAGGATAATCAAAAGCTTACCGTAAATATCGATTGGAAGAAACCAGAAAAACACGAGGAAGAAGAGGAAACCAAAGCCAAAGCCACATCAGCACCAGCATTATACTAAATCGGTTTACGGATGTCGATGGAATTGAAACGACGAGCGCCGTTACACACTGCAGGCAACCGCACGCGCTCTGAAAACATTAGCTGAAAACTAGTTGAGGACGACACATCGATCAAGCGGAAAAAGAGACTATTAGAAAAACACAGGATGACGGCTCTATGTCGAATTAAGAGTTCAAAAGATGCGAAGCAAGCAACTGCGAGTGGCAACGATAATCGACGATGAGCGGATATATACAACCGAACACGTTGCGCAGGTATTTGAAATCTTAAGCGTTTTCTGAAATGTACAGCTCGACATTAGAGTGCCTGCAAGGAATGTCCTAAACGATGACATTTCCGAGACTTCCGAGACAGAAAAACTTAAATTTCATTACTCACCTATGGAATGAATGGTGAGCGATGACTGAAAAACCTCGAACACGGGTACTAAACGATGACACGGCTTCTGGGCTTTCTGAAACGAATCGCTGATTTCAGCGTCTCGACGGAGATGGAAAGACTGGATGTACAGCAGCTGCTCTTCCAGACTGAGAAGCTACAGTTAGGATGATCCGGGCAGGTTTTCCAAACACTTTTAGAAGAAAAGCGAAACAGCTAATAATTGCTCGACTGACAGGCAGAAGAGACTTGATACGGCAAAGAATCACCCGGGACCTGGGATACTCGACCGACTCGGCACTAGACTTGAAGTTTTTTGTGCCGAAACTCACAGGCTGGTACGGCAACAAAGACGCTGCAGACACGGCAAGATGTTGCTACCTATGCGATTATAGAATTCCATTCTCTAGAACTTCTTCAGATCGAAATTAGTGAAAGAGGGCTTGAAGCTTTCTGACCATTCAGATTTCTTTACATGTCATCAATTCCAGGAGAATTCGAGTCACATTGCAGGCCTTTATTACCTCTATATGTAACAACGCTCTTTAAATTCCTAGTTCGTTAGATGGATCACTACTAACTTGTAGTGTTTGCAAAAGTATCAAAGGTGATAAGAAGCGATCTGGGGGACAGCTTTTGAGCAGTTGCTGGAAATGCTCAGTCAACTGCTTGAGGCGTTGCTTCGCGTTGCCAATGTTAGATCATCTTTAGATAAGTAAGGATCGAGTCTTGTACTTACCGGACTAATTTCATACTCCTCAAACGCAGTTCTTCAGCACCCTTTCTCACCGTTACAAATTCCTTTCCAGCTACATCAGTAACGCCGTTAAAATGCTCGACAGGAAGACCATATGCCGCGTTAAATGCTGCAGCGAAGTATTTTAGACACTTTTCTGTTGCTTGATTCCTTCTACTGGACCATATGGCCTTCATAATCCGAAGAAATTAGGATATCCTTCTCCTTAAACTTGAATAATGAACATTCATCTTTTATGCAGGAGATTAATTCCATGGTCTTAAACTTTCATTTGTAGTTGATTCGCTCTCATACATCACAACATAAATTACTGACATTCTGAACCATTATCGGTTCATTGTCAATA